TCCACCTCGACCGTCTTCGCCGCCTCTGCAGCCGGTTGCTGTCGACTCTGGTGCTGCTGGGGGTGGTGCTGCTAGGGGTGCTGAGCCTGGGGGTGCTGAGCCTGAGGGTGCGGAGCCTGGGGGTGCTGAGCCTGAGGGTGCGGAGCCTGGGGGTGCTGAGCTTGGGGGTGCTGAGTCTGAGGGTGCTGAGCCTGGGGGTGCTGAGCCTGGAGGTGCGGAGCCTGGGGGTGCTGAGCCTTGGGGTGCGGAGCCTGGGGGTGCTGAGCCTAGGGGTACTGCTTCTGCTAGAGGTCCTACGGGTGCCTCGCCGCAGCGGTCTAGCCGGCGGGAGCCTCTCTCACCACGACACCTGTGCGAGTGGTTTGATCGGCACACCCGCCTTCGGAGTGGCGCTGCTGGAGCTGGAGGCACTGCCGCTGGAGGCGCTGGCGCTGGAGGCACTGACACTGGAGGCACTGGAGCTGGAGGCGCTGGAGCTGCAGACCCTGGAGATGGAGGTGCTGACACTGGAGGCGCTGGAGCTGGAGGCGCTGGAGTTGGAGGCGCTGGAGCTGGAGGCGCTGGAGCTGGAGGCGCTGGAGTTGGAGGCGCTAGAGCTGCAGACCCTGGAGCTGGCGGCACTGACATTGGAGGCACTGGAGCTGGCGGTACTGGTGCTGGAGGCACTGTGCAGCAGCGACCGTTCTTCTTGCCGCCGCCGCAGCAGTTACTGCTACCGCCTGCCTCGGCGCTCCGTTAGGTTCTTAGTCTTCCTTCGTCCACTGCCCTTCCTCCAGACTCACCGCTGCCTGCCCCCCCCTCTTTATACTGAGCAGCCAACCTTCCTTACAGAGCGTTGTGAGCTTGCGTCTCGTCCTGTCACGCCTGCTCGCACTGGTCACCGTGTCCCTTGTCCGCGTCCTCCCCTTGTGCCGGGTACTCACACTATGGCACTTCGTCCTTCCTCTGTTCCACTGCGAGTTCCCCTGCCGTCTCCTCCGGCGTTCTCTCTTCCTGACGTTCCGGAACCTGAGTCTGACTTGGACCATTGAAAAGCTTTACAGCACCACACCATTGAAAAGCACTAGAGCACCACACCATTGAAAAGCAATACAGCACCACACCATTGAAAAGCACTACAATGCCTCACCATTGAAAAGCACTACAGCGCCACACCATTGAAAAGCACTACATCGCCACACCATTGAAAAGCAATACAGCGCCACACCATTGAAAAGCACTACAGCGCCACACCATTGAAAAGCACTACAGCGCCACACCATTGAAAAGCACTACAGCGCCACACAACTGAAAAGCACTACAGTGCCACACCATTGAAAAGCATTGCAACGCCACACCATTTGAAAGCACTACAGTGCCAGCACTACAGCACCACACCATTGAAAACTACTACAGCGCCACACCATTGAAAAGCACTATAGCACCACACCATTGAAAAGCACTACAGCACCACACCATTAAAAAGCACTACAGCGCCACACCATTGAAAAGCACTACAGCGCCACACCATTGAAAAGCACTACAGCGCCACACCATTGAAAAGCACTACAGCGCCACACCATTGAAAAGCACTACAGCGCCACACCATTGAAAAGCACTACAGTACCACACCATTGAAATGCACTACAGCACCACACCATTGAAAAGCAGACAAGAAGACACAAGCAGAGTCAAGCAGACAAGCAGACGAGCAGACACAAGCGCAGATCAGCAGACGAGCAGTCACAAGCACAAATCAGCTTACGAGAAGACACAATCACAGATTAGCAGACGAGCAGACACAAGCACAGATCAGCAGACGAGCAGACACAAGCACAGATCAGAAAAACGAGCAGACATAAGCACAGATCAGCAGACGAGCAGACACAAGCACAGATCAGCAGACGAGCAGACACAAGCACAGATCAGCAGACGAGCAGACACAAGCACAGATCAGCAGACGAGCAGACACAAGCACAGATCAGCAGACGAGCAGACACAAGCACAGATCAGCAGACGAGCAGACACAAGCACAGATCAGCAGACGAGCAGACACAAGCACAGATCAGCAGACGAGCAGACACAAGCACAGATCAGCAGACGAGCAGACACAAGCACAGATCAGCAAACGAGCAGACACAAGCACATATCAGCAGACGAGCAGACACAAGCACAGATCAGCAGACGAGCAGACACACGAACAGATCAGCATACGAGCAGACACACGCACAGATCAGTAGACGAGCAGGCACAAGTACAGATCAGCAGACAAGCAGACACAAGGACAGATCAGCCGACGAGCAGACACAAGCACAGATCAGCAGATGAGCAGACACAAGCACACATCAGCAAACGAGCAGACACAAGAAAAAATTAGCAGACCAGCAGGCAAGGAGGCAAGCAAGAGACAAGCAGGGTATGAAGCTTGCATCCAAGGGTTTAGAGTGTCAGTTCGTGTGCACAGAATCGCAAGGCACCCCCTACAATCTGTCAGAACTCCTGTAAAGCAAAGCCACCACTTGTTCCCCTTTATAGCCTGCTGTCCGCCTCCTTTCCTCCCTCACCCCTAGGCTCTTGGATTACACAACAATGGGGGGGTCGCTGCCAGCAGCCCTGGGTAACCTTACACGCCTTATTGAGATGTACGGCTTCTATTGCTATACTGTGCGGTTGTGTGCGTTGGTGTCCAGTGCCGTGCTTTACAGCGCTGTGTGTGCTGTGCTGTGTTGTGTTATGCTGTACTGTGCTGTGATTGCGGTTTGGTGTGTACCCGTGCTGTGATGTGCAGCAGCACTGTGCGAGAAGTCTTTGCTTCTTTCTCAAACTTTACAGTCCAGCGAAATATTTTGAGTCACTTGTAATTTCTAGCCGACCATGTCAGTGGTGATGTAATAGCGGCCTTAGTTGCGGTTGCGGAAGACGCGTCTAGCGTCTTAGACGCCGGCGTCTAGACGCAGCGTCTAAGACGCTAGACGCAAGTTTAGGCCAGATTAGACGCAGGATTAGACGCAAGCTTGGGCAGGCTAAAAAAAGTTCGGGCAGCCTAAAAAAACTTCTATGGGACATGGGGAGGGTGGAGGAGATGCACGTATGTCACAAATGGGTCAATTTTTACCCGTACCATAACTTTTCCCCCATACTTAGAGTTCACAAATGTCTTCACATCTCATCATTCATAGTTCAATTTTAAAGCCTCTTGGTGGATTTGTGCTCTCCAGCCTCTTGGTGGTTAGCCATAGAGGTTGGGTTTTCTAGATACTAAGCAGTGCAGTGAGGTTTGTGTTCAATTTTGGTTGGGGGGGGATCAAATTTGCTTTGGGGGCTGGTTTCTATGGTCAAAATGGGTGGGAGGGGGTTCAAATGTCGCGAAATTGAATTTCGCGTCGCGAATTCCGATTTCGCGCGCGCGAATATTTGTTTTTGGGCTGCCCAATTTTTTTTTGCCCAAGCGTCTAGCGTCTAATGGTGCGTACTGCGTCTAGCGTCTAGACGCTAGACGCAGGACGCATCTGGCGTCTTCCGCATAGCGGCCTATGTTTCCTCCACTCCCCTCCCCACACCATATCCATGGTGCATGCATGTGCTGCCATTCGTCTTACTCACTAGATGCTCCAAAAGCTGCTGTTTTGTGTGCTAACTCTCTCACCCGAAAAATTTGCTCACCTGCTTGCTTGCTCATTCGCTTGCTCGTTCATTTGCGTGTGAGCTTGGATGCCCCCGTGCTTGCCCGATTGCAAGTGCCAGTGGACATGTCTCAACACGAAGTGGTAATGCCATGCCACGCATGCCAGGCTTTTTCTGAGTCAAACAAAGTCATCTCGAAGGGGAAATGCCATACGCCCCGGCGTTTCCTAGCACACAGTAACACCCCCAATCAGAAAACGCCTTGCTTGCCACACTGTCTGTCTTTTCATCCAATCGTGCCTGTGTGCTCCCACTCGGCTCCTCCTAATGCTTCCTTCCGCTTCTCTTTCAGCTGGTCTCAACCGTCCCCGTGTCCCTCTATTTTACCTTGCTCAGTGCCCACCTTCATGTTTCTCTTCCTCTCATCTATCCTCCTCTCAATTATCCTCCTCTCACCTCACTCTCGTCCTCTCGTCTCACACTATTCATCCCTAACGGCCTGCCCTCTCCTTTCCTCACCTCCCCCAGATCATTCCTGCCCCTCAGTAAAATGGTGGGCCCTACGTGTGGGAAAAAGGGAGCGTGCGTGGTGAATCAGAATGCCTCCTCGCCCTTCTGTGCCGCGTGCCCTGACTTCTGCCACGCCTGCTCGCCCCCGGGCCTCTGCACTGGCTGTAATGGTGCGTGTTGATATGGGTGAGCATGGGCCAAGCTTGCACTGGCACACAGGTAATCTACACTAGACTTATGCAACAGCCAGTTGGTTTTAGAAATAGCAGCACGCATGCAGGATGGCTGGTTATGTGCAGTGCAAGTATAACTTTCTATGGATTGGCAGTCTGTTTGACGTATCTTCCCTCCCACACCAAGTTGCGTCGCACACAAGACATGTCCTTCCCTTGTACACGTCCCTCTGCATGTCAGTGTCCAACCCAAGATAGAGATACCAGCGGGAATCAGTGGAAATAACAGCAGCAGCAGCAGTGGCGGCAGCAGCGGCGTCGGCGTCGGCGACAGCAGCGGCAACAGCAGCAATAGCAATAGCAGCGGCAGCGGCAGCGGCTTATCGACGGGAGTAATCATGGGCATCGTATGTGGGGTGGTGGTGCTGCTGCTCGCACTGTCACTTGCCATCCTCTTCTTCCTCTGCGGGAGGAACAAGGTCTTTCGCTTCGGTGAGCCCTCTCTCGCTTCACTGACCTCTCTTGCTTCATTGACCTCTCTCGCTTCACTGACCTCTCTAGCTTCATTGACCTCTCTCGCTTCACTGACCTCTCTCGCTTCTTGGTTGTATTTTCAAGAAACGAGATGCTGTTCTCTCTTGAGGCAATAACATATGGAACACTTGAGTGCACGGTGCAGGAGCACTAGCGAAGGGCGTGTGTGTGGAGTATACGATGAAGGAGATGGAGCAGGCCACCAACAACTGGTCGAAAGGCAACCTGCTGGGGTCGGGGGGCTTCGGGAACGTGTTCAAGGGCGTGTCGCCCCTCGATGGCACCACGCTCTGGGCTGTGAAGCGCGCCACGGTGATCACCAACGACTTCCAACGAGAGGTACAAACATATTACACACTATATGTATGGGCAGCCATGGGTTAACTTGAATGCGATAGATTGTTGTCAGGTTTTCAGAGGTAGGTAGGTAGGTAGGTAGGTAGGTAGGTAGGTAGGTAGGTAGGTAGGTAGGTAGGTAGGTAGGTAGGTAGGTAGTCATGTTCTGGAAGCGAAAAGATAGGCCATTTGATTTCAGCCCATCTCTGGTATTTGACTCGCAAATAGCTCGTGTTGGGGCAAGAAAAATGTGTCACCTATTGTGACGACAGAAGCAGCCCCCCTCCCAAGCTCCTCACTTCATCTCCCTCACCCTCGAATGGCAGGTGAGCAAGATGGCGTCGAAGCACCACCCCAACCTGGTGCGGCTGCTGGGCTACGCCACGTGTGGGGACCTGCGGGAGCGCATCGAGCAGATCCTCGTGTACGAGTTCATCCCCAATGAGGACCTCGACAACTGGCTCAAAAAAGGTGGGTGCGGAAGGGAAGGGGAGGGGGAGGGGGTGGGGAGAGGGGGGATGGGGGAGGGAGGGGAGTTTAAGGTGGGGCGAGTAGTGTGCAAGGTTTGAGAAGAGGGTGCTTAAGCAGCCTCTTCCTGGTCCTTCATCCATCTTCTTGTTCCCTCAATTTACGTCGCTCTTGCCACACTCTTGTTGTGAGGATCGAAACTCTAGCTCAAATTGTAAGTTATGATCACCTGGGTACAATTTCGTGCTATATATATGCATGACACAAGGCCAATAACCCCGGAGTTACTAGAAGGTTCCGCGGGTCGCCAAGCGCCCCGAATGGGTACTTCCCAAATTCGGTAGAAGCCTCTTGGTGGTAAACCAAAAAGCACAGAATTCGGTGCATGTAACCAATTTCGGTGCCTATAACGATAAAAACTTTTAGTTAAACGAAAAAATAAATGAGCAAGAAAATGCATGATAAAGTAATTTTATGTAAGTAAAGTCGTTGGTAGCTCTATTTTCTTCGTCTCTTCTTCCCCCTCTCGCCCCACACACCTGATGGCATCTCACTACTGACTCTGAAACAACAACAGAAGATCCTCATGACATGCAGTGCCACAGACCCCCTTGCCGTCGTACCATCCCTACATTCTCGTGTGCACTGTGCGCGGCTGTACAGATGAGCCCTCGCCCCTGACGCTGGAGCAGCGGCTGGGCGTGATAATGGGAGCAGCGTGCGGGTTTGAGTACTTACATGGCTTTGACATCGTGCACCGCGACATCAAGCCCGCCAACATCCTGCTGGATAGCAACATGCAGGTGATAGTCGAGACGCAGTATCACTGTCTGCTGTCCTTTCTGATTTTGATCTTACCTCTGACAATATATTGTCTGCCTTTTGCCCGTCCGTCCGTCCGTCCGTCCGTCCATCCATCCATCCATCCATTAGCGTACCCACCCACCCGCGCATGCCCCTATCATCCCTGTGAGCAGCCCAATGTGGCGGATTTTGGTCTCGTGCGAGTGGAGGGGGGCAGCACCGTGTAAGCCACGCGCGTGATGGTCACACCGGGCTATGTCGACTCGGCTTGTTCTCACACGCATAAGGCCATTCTTGCAACTGATGTGTACAGGTGGGCGCTGGCAACTGAGCGTCTTAAAATAGCCCACAGAGTGAACCTGTACAGCCTCATCAATGCCTCATGGTAGCTTCCTTTGCTAAGGTACCATCAATGGTCCTCGGGACTTGCACACAACGTCACCAACCATGTTGTTGCCTAGGGAGCAGCCATTGATGCTAGATCCAGTAGCCTTTAGAGTAGGTACATTTGGGAAAAAGGAATCAATGTCAGCTATTTTGACATAAAAAAACATATCCTTGTATTCCTCGCTGACAGGCAATTCTCAAGAGTTGCTTATTGGAGCTTGTAACATTGTGGAGCCTCGACATTGAGAGCTCCGAAGTCCCTTGTGGCAGCCATGGCAGCCTTGGTAGTTGCGTCATTGTTGTGGGGAGAAAATCGAGGAAGCCAGCCGATGGCCTTCTAACGAGATTTATGTTTGCAGCGAGTTCGATTTCAATTTAGCTAGCTTTGACTCACGAAGACCTGACTGGCTGCACGTCCCATCAGGATGTGCTGGCATGATGTGTTTGTTGATTGTGTAGGTGGTTGTGGTATTTTGCTCTAGCTGGTTGTGGGCTAAGGGCTTGGGCAAAATATGCTTGCTAGACTTGTTGCGAGCTAGATTTGATCTCGCACCCAACAAGCACCAACAAACCTTTGCTACCCACTACAACATCTTTGGTGTTACTAGTTTGGAATTTTGAATTGTTGAAGATTGTTGTAGGGCGAGGGTTGGGTTGGTAGGGTTTGACAAACTCGTCACTTTTCAGATTTGAACTCTTGCTTAAACCATTCCTATGTCTTATCCATGGCTGCCAAGTAATTCCGCCAGGATACCCCGTCGCACTTAAATCGCGATAGCGATCGGCCTAGATCTTGGTTGAAGGCGTGCGTTACCATTCTGGAAATTAGAGATTAAAATCATTTTTAACGCGTACCTGCTCATATTTTTAAGTTACGTGAGCTGTACGCAATGGTTCGCCGAAGTCAACGGACATAATCTCTTGTTACGCTCTCCAGATTCGCGCGCTTTCCATGAGCGGTATCAGAGCTGGTTAGGCCAGCGACATTCCCTCCTATTATCATATTTCGAATTGGCTTAAGAACCTCCAGATCTAGGGTTGGTCATGGCCCAGAAATTAGATGGCCCTCCTAGGTTCACCGGCTCCGATGTTTCGCTATGGCGGTTCGAGTTTACGCTTTGGCCATGCATTAAAGACCTAGAAGGCGTTTTGGAGGGATCGGAGCGAAGACCTGAAGCTAATGAAGGAGAGGCATCTGCTGGAGTTTCTAGCCAAGTAGGAAAAGTGAGGGAAGTGGAGGTGGATCAGCAGCACCGCGAACCGGAAGGCAACGGCTTAGTGCGGAGGAGCTACTTAAGGCACAGGAAGCATGGGACCGCAAGGAAAAGCAAGTGTTCCAGTACCTTTATTGGGCTTTGGAAGGCCAACTAGAGCTCCTAAAGATGCTGATTGACTTTAAGGGGAAGCGAGGAGCAGCTGCCCAAGCATGCAAGATCGGCACTTGCAAAAAGGGCTGCTAAGCATACTCACCTGGAGGAAGCAGCTTTACACCATGGAACGCAACTATGGTGATGGGGAGACCATGGTGCAGTCTCTTCAGAGTTGAACTACACTGTAGATGAGAAGGAGATCATCTACACCGCACTCCAGGGGCTGGACCAAGAGGCGAACGAAGCCCTACTGCAGTACCTTCACCTTGAGCAACAGAAATGGACCAAGGCCTGGATATGGGAGGTGTTGGTCTCTGATGAGGCTCGCAAGCGGGATGCTGGTAGAGGAGTTGAAGGGGGAATGGGGGCAGGTGATAGGGCTGCCTCCAAGAAATACCAGCAGCGGCAAGGAGGTGGGGGGAAGAAGAAGGAGCTCGACAAGTGCCTCGTCCCTGGATGCAACCGGAAGCACTCGTGGAAGGAGTGTTGGAGCCGGCCAGATGGGTGGAAGCCTCAAGGCTACCCAGGAGAGGCTCCAACTATCACTAGGCCTGAGTGGGTGGAGAGGAGGATGAAGAATGGAGCATGGAACAAGAAGGGCAGCAAAGGAAAAGCGGCGGCAGCAGCGGCAAATGATAGTGGGAAGGGAGAGGAGGAGTCATCGGACGACGGTTTCTCCTTCCTTACCTTGGAGAAGGAGACGGCGCTTGCTGGTCCTGTGTTGCGATTACCTCGTTCTAGACTCTGGTGCTACTTGTGGAATGGTACCACGGCATGACCTCTTCACCACCTATCACTCCCTCCTACCTAACTCAAGAAATGTCATCGTTGGGACCGGAGATACGCTGCAAGCAATCGGCATAGGCACCATCACCATCAAGGGCAAGGAAGGAGGGGGAGGTGCTACATGTGAAGGGTGTGCTTCATGTTCCTGGATTGGCAGCAACCCTCCTTTCATGCTCTCAGCTTGCTAGGCAAGACTACATATGCAGCTTCACCATTGGAGGGTGCACGGTTCGCAAGGGTGGAGCTGTGGTGATGGAGGCCAAGTTAGAGAAGGGTTTATACCTTGTTCCAGTGTGTGTGCCTCAAGTGAAGAAGGCACATGGGGTTGAAGCCGAAGATGTCGCTTGCAGCACCCGTTGGAAGGATGTGGAGCAGGTGACGGCAGATTTGCTGCACCTACGCATGGGGCATGCGGGAAAGCAACAGCTTGTGGAGTGTGTGAAGAAGAGGGAGCTGAAGAGTTTGGAGGTCAAGGAGGGTGGCAGGCAGCCAAGCAAGTGCCCTGATTGTACGACCAGGAAGCTGCCAAGGACCTCTTTCCCTACCTCCACCACTAGAGCCTCCGCACCTCTTGAGTTGGTGCACACGGATGTATGTGGCCCCATGCAAACACTGGATAGGGAGAAGGGCAGCAGGTACTTCATCACCTTTCTGGATGACTACAGCCGCCTCAGTTGGGTCACCTTGGTGAAAACCAAGGATGAGGTGGCCAAGGTGTTCAAGTGTTGGGGGCCAAGGTGAAGATACTAAGGTCTGATCGGGGTGGGGAGTACATGGGGAAGGATCTGGAGTCTTTCCTTGAAGATAAGGGCATCACCCACCAGTTTTCAGTTGCCTACACGCCGCAGACAAATGGGGCAGCAGAGCGGCTTAATCAAACTCTCAATGACCTTGCCCGAGCCATGCTTGCTCATGCGCAGCTAGTCTATACTTGGTGGGGGGCAGCAGTGCAATATGCCAACTGGGTTAAGAACCGAATGGGCAGCATGGGGCTTGGGGGCAAGAGCCCATACTTCATGTGGACTAGGAAGGTGCCTAGTGTGTCTATGGCACGAGTCTGGGGTGCATGGCACAATACAAAGTGCCCGACCAGCAACGGAGGAAGCTGGATCCCAAGGCACAATGGGGCATTTTCCTTGGGGTGTCAGAGAGGAGCAAGGCATGGGTGTTGTGGAGTGTGGCAGATCAGCGGGTGGTGAAAAGCCGGGATGTGGTTTTCCACAAGGGGTTGAGCTACAAGGGGTGGAAGGAGCATGGTACTAGTACGGTTGGGAGTTCCCTGCAGGATCCCTACACCTCTTCCATTTTTGAGGGGACATGGGAGGACCCTGGGAGAGCAGTTAGAGGAGCAGCAGGAGGAACACAAGGCAGCTGCACCTCACCATGAGGATTCCCCAACTGTTGATTCCACCCCTGACCCTAACAAACCAGCCCATGACCCGCAGCAGCTTCAAGAGCAGCAACAGCAGCAGCACCAAGAGCAGCCGCAGCAGCCACCGCAGCAGCATACACCGCCTGTTCCTGTGGGAAGGTGGCAGCAACTATTGCAGGAGCAGCTATCCAGGTAACCACGGTCCCCCATGAAGAGAGTGACTTGGAAGGAGAAGCTGCAAAGTTTGGAGCAGGGGGAGGCATCACCTCTGCGCCGCACCACACGCATCTCCCGGCCACCACACACCAAGTGCACAGTATGCTTGCATGCATGATCATGAGGTGCATGATTTGGAGGAGTGCATGCTTGTGGATGCTGAGGGGGGTGAGCTTGGGCTTGATTTCTGTCTCATGGGTCAGGTGCATGAGCCTAAGTCGATCAAGGAGGCCTTGTCCCGTCCTGAGTGGGTCCGGTCCACGTGTCAGAAGCTTGAGTCTCATAGGGTGAACGAGTCCTTTGAGCTGGTTGATCCAGCTTGTGTGCCACCTGGAATGGAGATCTTAAGGTGTTAGTGGGTGTGGAAGTATAAGCACATGGCTGAAGGAAGTATTGAGAGGCCTAAGTCCAGGTTGGTGGCCATGGGGAACACTCAAACACGAGGTGTTCACTATGACCAGGAATGTACCCCGGTGGGTAAACCTACTACCCTGAGAGGTTCCCTTGGGATGGCAGCATCTTCGGGGTTTCACATCCATCATATGGATGTGACCACTGCCTATCTTCATGGGGTCTTGAAGGAGGAGCTTTACATGAGGCAGCCCCCTGGTTTTGATGATGGGTCCGGCAGGGTTTGCCGACTCAGAAAGTCAATCTATGGGCTAAAGCAAGCTCCAAGGCAGTGGTACCTCAAGTTTGATGAGGCGCTGATGGATTTTGGCTTTGAGAGGTCGGAGTGTGACCCCGCCTTGTACCACTTGGTGAGGCGTGAGGGCAGGCTGTCCCTCTACCTCTATGTGGATGACATTCTGCTCATGTCTTCGAGCATGGTCTTGCTGGACGAGGTGAAGGGTCTCTTGTCCTCTCGTTTCCGCATGAAGGACCTGGGGGAGGCTAAATACTATTTGGGGGTGCAGATTGAGCGTGATGAGAGTGGCATCTTGATTCATCAGGAGAGGTACATTCTCAACATGCTTGAGTCCTTTGGCCTTTCTGAGGCTAACCCCGTGCGTACCCCTCTCCCTACAGGGTTCGATGTGCATGCACATGCTGAGGAGCCCTTGCTGAGAGCTGGTTCAGCTCTATCAAAGCATTG